CAAAAAAAAAAAAAAAAAAAAAAAAAAAAAAAGACATTTAAAGTAATAGTGGAGGGACCTTGTGGGTCGCCACAAGCTTTTTCCTCATCTGCTTCTCCCAGCCAAAAATTCAGGCTCTAGGTGTTTCCTCCCTTGCTGCAATTATGACCTTTCAGGGGACATATATAAAAATGCTCTGCTTCACCTTGATCATGTAACATGCAGTTTAATCAGCTACATCATGATTATGCATCAAACAACTCAGAGTCAAAACTCATAAAGCAACATTAGTAGAAAATAAGAAATCACAGCAGAAGCAACCCAGAAACAGACAATTTTAATTGGACACTCGGTGCAAAATAGACAGAAATTTTAAGTATAGAAATGAAAATATATAATTGATGTAGTTAAAAAGGCAGATCTAATTGCATACATGTTAAACTCTATGCCCGCTAATACAAAATTTACTTTATTTTTAAGAACCATGGAATTTTCACACAAATTTTTTTTTTTTAGTAAAGGACATCTCAGAACACTTTCCAAAAGTACTCCCTATGCATAAGTATTAAGAATAAAATTTAATTTTAAAAATTAAAAAATGTAATTTTGCCACTTGGAATTAAAGTTTAAAAATTATTGGATCAAAATAAGTAATACAAGTATAACACCATAAGGAAGATAATTAAAAACTACATATTTGAGCCTATGTGAAGCAGCTAAGGTTAATAAAAAATGTAAATAATAAAAATGGATTATCAAGAAGTGGGGGGAAAGGACAATTTTTTAAACAAATATTACTGGAAAAAAATATATATTCATGTGCAGAGAAAAAAGAAAGACAGAATGGAGACCCCTATCTCACACACCATAAACATTAACTCAAAATGGTTGATCAATTTAAATGCAAGATCTAAAACGAATACAATTCTGAACAAACAGATAAGAAAATTTCTCTGACCTTGAATATAATAATTTTTTAAAACAATTTTATATAATATAAAATTTTTGTATATAATATAAAAGCATAATCCATAAAAGAAAATAGTCTAATAAACTGAATTTCATCAAAATGTGAGACACTGGGAGGCATTGCTTGCAAGTCATATATCTGATGAAGTACTCGTATTCAGAATATTTAATATAGTCTTGCAGTTTAGTAATAAGAGGACAAACATTTCAATAAAAAGTAGAAGGATTTTAATAGATGTTTTGCCAAGGAAGATATACAGGTGACCAAGAAGCACATAAAAAGTTGCTCAATGTCCTCAGTCATTAAGGAAATGCAAATAAAAAAACACCATAATGATACATTGTTACACACCCACTCTCATGACTATAATTTTAACAGTGAGCATTGGCCAGGATGTTGGAAAACAAGAATTCTCATTCAATGTTAAATGGTACAGCTACTCTGAAATAGTTTGGTATTCTCAACACAAACCTTAAAGGCATGAAGAACATGAAGTGAAGTGTTCCAAACTCTTAAAGAAGACAACTTCTAAACCAGACTGTCATATCCTGCATAATTATCTTTCAAAATTGATGAAGGTTTAACATACTTCCATGATAAAGCCTAAAGACATTCAAGACCATCAAACCAACATTCAAAAAAATTCTCAAGGACAGTGTAGAAGGAAATAATAAAGCTAACAATGCCAAAAGGTCCAATAAAATGAATTCATGAGGTAAGACACGAATTAAGTAAAAGGGAAAGAAAGCAAAACAGCAACAGGAAATTAATACAATGGCAGAGATAAGTCGATACCCATCAGTCATAACTATCAATGTAAATGAACTTCACTCATCAATCAAGACACAGATTGGAATCGATCAAGAAACAAAACCCAACAGTATGACATATACGAGAAACACATTTAACATACAAAGAAATTAATAGACTC